AAAAAAAAAAAAAAAAAGACCAAAATTTTACGTGACCTGAGTTTAAGATTTATTATAAAATTGTACTAATCAAGACAGGGTAGTACTGGCATAAGAATTGACAAATAGATTAATAAAAAAAGAAAAAATGAGCCCAGAATAGAACCATACCTGTCCCATCATTTGATTTTCAACAATGGTCCCAAAGCACTTCAGCGAGGAAAGGAAAGCCTATCCAATAAATTGTCTAGAATACTTGATAACATATGGAAAAAATAATAACAAACTTTATAGTATACCCAGGAACTATCTTATAGTATACCCAGAAACTAATTCAAGATGGATCAGAGACCTAATTATAAAAGCTAAAACCATAAAGCTTTTAGGAAAAAAAAATGAGAGAACATCTTCATGACTAGAGAAGAGGCAAAAGTTCCTTAGGACGCTAGAAGCAGTCATCATCACAGAGCATACTGATAAATTGACTTTACCGGAATTGAAAACTTCTATTCACCAAAAATCACACTTACGAAAACAAATTGGCAGGCTAAAGGATGAGAGAAAATATTTACAAAACAAATATCTGACAAAGGGACTGGTAGTCAAAATCTATAAAAAGCTCCTAAAACTCAGCCAAACGTGGTGGATCACGCCTGTAATCCCAGCACTTTCAGAGGTCGAAGCGGGTGGATCACCTGCGGTTGGGAGTTTGAGACCAGCCTAGCCAATATGGTGAAACTCCATCTCTACTAAAAACACAAATAAATTAGCCGGGTGTGGTGGCAGGCACCTATCATCCCAGCTACTGGGGAGGCTGAGGCACCATAATTGCTTAACCCTGGAAGGTGGAGGTTGTAGTAAGCTGAGACCATGCCATTGCACTCCAGCCTAGGCAACAAGAGTGAAACTCCATGTCAAAAAAAAAAAAAAAAAAAAGAATACAAAAATGAGCCGGGCGTGGTGGTGCATGCCTATAATCCCAGCTACTCAGGAGGCTGAGGCAGGAGAATTGCTTGAACCTGGGAGGTAGAGGTTGCAGTGAGCCGAGATTGTGCCATTGCACTCCAGCCTGAGCAATAGAGCAAGACTCCGTCTCGGGGCGGGGGGGGGGGCACACATTGAGGGGAATAATAAATATCATCACATTTAATTTCAAACTGAAATCTTATCAACTAACCATGCTTCTCTTCCACTGCCTCATGATGATTAGCTATTAAAAAAGAACAAACAAACTGTAGCTCTTTTTTGTGTATAGACGTAAATTTTCATTTCTGGCTGGGCACGGTGGCTCACACCTGTAATCCTAGCACCTTGGGAGGCCGAGACTGGCGGATCACCTGAGGTTGGGAGTTCAAGACCAGCCTGATCAACATGGAGAAACCCCATCTCTACTAAAAACACAAAATTTAACACAAAAAAACCCTTTAATTTCTATAGGACAAATGCCAAGGAATGTGATTGGTGGGTTGTATGGTAAGTGTATGTTTACTTGCCTGATTTTTTTTTTTTTTTTTTTTTTTGAGTCAGACTCTTGCTTTGTTGCCTAGGCTGGAGTGCAGTGGCGCAATCTCAGCTCACTGCAACCACCTCCTGGGTTCAGGCAATTCTGCCTCAGCCTCCCAAGTACCTGGGATTACAGGCATATACCACCATGCCCGACTTTTTTTTTTTTTTTTTTTTTTTTTTTTTTCTTTGAGATGGAGTTTTGCTCTTGTTGCCCAGGCTGGAGTGCAATGGCACGATCTTGACTCACTGCAACCTCCACCTCCCGGGTTCTAGCGATTCTTCTGCCTCAGCCTCCTGAGTAGCTGGGATTACAGGCATGCACTACCACGCCCAGCTAATTTTGTATTTTTTAGTAGAGACGGAGTTTCTCCATGTTGGTCAGGCTGGTCTCACACTCCTGACCTCAGAGGATCCGCCCTCTCCGGCCTCCCAAAGTGCTGGTATTACAGACATGAACCACCATGCCCGGCTGTTTTTTGTAACAGAGTTTTGCTCTTGTCTCCCAGGCTTGAGTGCAGTGGCATTATCTTGGCTCACTGCAACCTCCGCCTCCCGGGTTCAAGTGATTCCCGTGCCTCAGCCTTCTGAGTACCTGGAATTACAGGCGTGTGCCTCCAAGCCCAGCTAATTTTTGTATTTTTTTTTTTAGTAGAGATGTGATTTCAACATGCTAGCCAGGCTGGTCTCCATCTCTTGACTTCAAGCGATCCATCCATCTTGGCCTCCCAAAGTGCTGAGATTACAGGTGTGAGCCACCATGCCTAGCCAGTTGCTTGATTTTTTAAGAGACTGCCAAACTGTTTTTCAAAGTGGCTGCACCATAGTACATTCCCAGCAGTGATGTATGAGTGATCCATTTTCTCCACATCATCACTAGCATTTGGTTTTGTCAGTATATTTTATATTAGTAACAAATGTGTAATGCTGTCTCGTGCTCTTAATTTGCATTGTCATAATGGCTAATGATGTTGAACATCTTTTCATGTGTTTATTTGCCATCTGTTGTCCCTCTTTGAGTAAATATCTCATGTCTTTTACTCATATTCTAATTGAATTGTTTGGTTTTTTTACTTTTGAGTTTTGATAATTAAAAAAATATATATTCTAGCTATTCCCACTCTGTAGCTTGTTTTTTCATCCTCTTAATGAGATCTTTAATTGGGTAAGTTTTTTTTTTTTTTTTTTTGAGATGAAGTCTTGTTCTGTCTCCCAGGCTGGAGTACAATGGCATGATCTGGGCTCACTGCCGCCTCCGCCTCCTGGGTTCAAGTGATTCTGCCCTCAGCCTCCCGAGGAGCTGGGATTGCAGGTGCCCACCACCATGCCCGGACAATTTTTGTATTTTTAGTAGAGACTGGGTTTCACCATCTTGGCCAGGCTGGTCTCAAACTCCTGACCTCAAGTGATCTGCCTGGCTCAGCTTTCCAAAGTGCTAGGATTACAGGTATGAGCCACTGCACCCAGCCCATAGAGTAAGACTTTTTAATTGTTTTTTTTTTTTGAGACAGAGTCTCGTTGTGTCACCCAGGCTAGAGTGCAGTGCTGTTATTTTGGCTCACTGCAACGTCCTCCTCCCAGGCTCAAGTGATTTTCATGCCTCAGCCTCCCGAGTATCTGGGATTATACGCATGTGCCACCACACCCAGCTCATTTTTGTATTTTTAGTAAAGACAGCGTTTCACCATGTTGGCCAGGCTGATCTCAAACTCCTGGCCTCAAGTGATCCGCCCACCTCAGCCTCCCTAAGTGCTGGGATTACAGGCATGAGCCACTGCACCCGGCTGAATTTTAATGAAGTCCATTATATCAATTTTTCTCTTTTTATGGATCCTGCTTTTGTCAGGTCTGAAAACCCTTTGCCTACCCCCAGCTCCTGAATATTTTCTCCTATTTGTTTTCCTAAAAGTTTTATAGTTTTACAGTTAAACATATGATCTATTTTGAGTAATTTTTTTATATAAGGTGTGAAGTTCATATTTTTGGCTATGGATGACCAATTACTTCTGCACTATTTGTTGAAAAGACTATTCTTCCTAAACTGAGTTGTTTTTGCACGTTTGTGCAAAATCATTTGGCTACACTTGTATGGGTCTATTTCTGGGTTGTTTGTTCTGTAGGTCTGTGATCCTATCCGTTCATCTGTACCACACCGTCTTGATTGTTGTTGCTACACAGTCAACCTTAAAATTGAATAGAGTGATTGCTCCCACTTAATTCTTTGTTTTCAAGATTTTCGCTGTATTTTCTTTTTGAGAGAAATGAAATTGTATATATAACTGGCCATTGGTTTAAGTCAACATTCTTTCAAATTTTTGGCAAATGAAAGATTTTGTTATTTTTATCTTATGTTATTTATTAGTGAATAATAAATGATTCTGGCTGGATGCAGTGGCTCATGTTTGTAATGCCAACAATTTAGGAGGCCAAGGTGGGAGGATCATGTGAGCCCAGGTGTTCAAGACTAGCCTGGGTGACATAGTGAAACCCCTGTCTCTACAAAAATTAAGTATATAAAGGCCAGGTGTGGTGGCTTAAGCCTGTAATCCCAGCAGTGTCAGAGGCCAAGGTGGGTAGATGGCTTGAGCCCAGGAGTTCCAGACCAGCCTAGGCAATATGGAGAAGCCCCATCTCTACAAAAAATACAAAAATCAGCCAAGCATGGTGGCACACGCCTGTATTTCCAGCTACTTGGGAGGCTGAGGTGGGAGGATCACTTGAGACCACTAGGTCAAGGCTGCAGTGAGCCCTGATTTTGCCACTGCACTCCAGCCTGGATGACAGAGCGAGACAGTGTCATTTGTTCGTTTGTTCATTCATAATCAATCACATCAAAAGTGTAATGTCTGATTAAATATTATGAAATAATGTATCTTAATAATTTTCCAGCCCAACTACCAATTTTGGTTTTAGGGCTCATATTTTCTGTATACCTCTCCTTGTTAGTATTGATTTTAAGTAAGTTGCCTAATTAAAAGAACTTTAAATGGCAAGTTGAATATATTAATAGCACGCTCATTTTGTCTTTTTTAGATGGTGTTATCTGAAAAGGTTAGTCAGCTGATGGAATGGACTAACAAAAGACCTGTGATAAGAATGAATGGAGACAAGTTCCGTCGCCTTGTGAAAGCCCCACCAAGAAATTACTCTGTTATTGTCATGTTCACTGCTCTCCAACTTCATAGACAGTGTGTCGTTTGCAAGTATGAACTTTCAACTACACTTTAAATAACTCATAAAATGTTAACCATTTCTCAATCCCAGAAGAGCCAAATTAGTGCAGTGGGTACTTAAATAATATGTATACCTTACTTAGGATGTCTGTGGTAGCAATACTACTGCTCTTTTATAGTCAATTCGTGGTTATCCATATTAGTGGGGGAAGCATGAATAAAGTATTGTGGTAGCCATCATAAAATTAACTTAAAAATCAAACAGTCATCTTATAAATTAGTATCAACTTGGCCAGGCATGGTGGCTCATGCCTGTAATCCCAGCACTTTGGGAGGTCAAGGCAGGTAGATCATTTAAGGTCAGGAGTCTGAGACCAGTCCGGCCAAAATGGTGAGACCCCGTCTCTACTAAAAAATAAAATACAAAAATTAGCTAGGCATGGGTTGCACACCTGCAGTCCCATATATTTGGGAGGCTGAGGCAGGATAATCGCTTGAACCTGGGAGGCAGAGGTTGCGGTAAGCTGAGATCATGCCACTGCACTCCAGCCTGGGCAACGGAGCAAGGCCCTGTCTCAAAAAAAAAAAAAAAAAAAAAAAAATTGATATCAACTTATATAAATATATGCCAGTAGCACTGATGTAGTATTTTATTATTTATAAGTGCTTTCAACTTCATGCTCTTGTATTGTCAAAATCCCAGAAGGTAGGAAAAGCAAATATCCTACCATTTTTAGAAGAAACAGTCTCCAGAATTTTAACTGGTCTACCCAATGCTTGAGATGTTTACTAGTGCAATGATGGTGGCTTCATCCAAGTTTGGAATATAAGAAAACTGATAATTTAAAGAAAAATAAAAAAAACAAAGATGCAGTTGGGTGTGGTAGCTCTTGTCTGTAATCCAGCACTTTGGGAGGCTGAGGCAGAAGGATCACTTGGGCCCAGGCATTGGAGACCAGCCTGGGCAACATAGTGAGACTTTGTATCTATAAAAATAAACAAAATTAGCTGGGTATGGTGGTATGCCTGTAGTCCCAGCTACTCCAGAGGCTGAGGTGGGAGGATCACTAGACCCTGGGAGGTTGAAGCTATAGAGGGCTATAATCATCCCACTGCACTGCAGCCTGGGTGACAGAGCAAGAGCCTGTCTCAAAAACAAACCAACAAAAAACAAAGATGCACGTGATCTCTTGTGAAATGTAAAAAAGTTGAACTCCTAGAAACAGAGTAGAATGGTGGTTTTGAGAGGCTCGGGAGAGGACATGGGGGGAAGTGTATAAAGTTTTAGTTAGATGAGAGGAATAAGTTCTGGTGATCTATTACACAGCATGGTGACCATAGTTAATGTATTGTAGATTTTGAAATTGCTAATAACATTTTAAATGCTCTCACCAGCAAAAAATAATAAATACGTAAGGTGATGGTCACATTAATTATTTTTTTTAATCCCAAAGATCCATGATTGAGGAATGTTTCTAATTTCCCAATTGTTTTGTAGTGATTGTAAACCTTGGAGGTGGAGACTAATCTTGCTGATGTTTTCATCAAACAGTGGTTTATTGATTTTGTTTTGTTGTTTCCGAATTATCTTAGGAGCAAAGATTGCTATTTTTATTTTAAATAAAAACACCATGAACAATTCAAAATGGTGGATACTAAAAAATAAAATAGCATTCAGGAAAATTTGTGCTCAAAAATTAGAAAATAAATAAAATAAAATAGCTTTTGCCTTTTAGTGTCCTTTTACTTATATTTTATCAGTGTGTCTGATCAGGTAATTAACTTTAAATGAAATGACTGAGGGGAGGGGGCAGAAAAAAAAAGGAAAGAAAAAATGACCAAACTACTGTATGAGAAATTAATAAAAACTAGGAGGTGCTTCAGATTCTGACAGCCTGAGACATGCAAAGGAAGAGACAGCTTGTTTCAGAATGGTGTGTTCTGCTACCCCAAGCCTTGATAACTTTTTTATTTATTTATTTTTAAAAAATTTTTTGAGAGGGAGTCTCACTCTCGTCATGTAGGTTGGAGTGCAGTAGTGTGATCAGGGCTCACTGCAACCTCCACCTTCTGGGTTCAAGTGATTCTCCCTCTTCAGCCTCCTGAGTAGTTGGGATTACAGGCGTGCACCACTACACCCGGCTAATTTTTGTATTTTTAGTAGAGACAGGGTTTCTCCTTGTTGGCCAGGCTAGTCTTGAACTCCTGACTTCAGGTGATCCACCTGCCTTGGCCTCCCAAAATGCTAGGATTACAGGCGTGAGCCACCGCACCCAGACTTGATAACTTTAACGATTTTCTCTCTGGAGCTAGGGTATAGTCAAGGTATTTGGTTCTATAGTGCTTATTTTGTGGAGTATATGCTGAATATAAATTAAAAATAAATAGAAGAAGAAAAAGGAATCATAAGTAATAACTATGAATAAACTTGAAACCTAGAATTACTTCTAATTCAGTCAGTTCACTCAGTAGCAATCAAGAGTATACAAAAATAGCGAAGAACAAACACAAACTCCTTCATAATTGTCTATTAAATGCAAATTAATGGAATTCTTACTAACCTAAGTTATTACTGACATGTTTCTTTTCTTTTTCTTTTTTTTTTTTTTTTTTTTTTTTTTTTGAGGTGGAGTCTCGCTCTTTCGCCCAGGCTGGAGTGAAGTGGTGCAATCTCGGCTCACTGCAACCTCCACCCCCTGGGTTCAAGCGATTCTCCTGCCTTAGCCTCCCAAGTAGCTGGAATTACAGGCACCCGCCACCAAGCCTGGCTAATTTTTGTTTTTGTTTTTGTTTTTGTTTTGTTTTGTTTTGTTTTGTTTTGAGACAGAGTCTCACTCTGTCACCCAGGCTGGAGTGCAGTAGTACGATATCGGCTCACTGCAACCTCTGCTTCCCAGGTTCAAGCAGTTCCCTGCATCAGCCTCCTGAGTAGCTGAGATTACAGGTGTGAGCCACCATGCCCGGCTAATTTTTGTATTTTTAGTAGAGATGGGGTTTTACCATCTTGACCAGGCTGGTCTTGAACTCCTGACCTCGTGATCCACCTGTCTCGGCCTCCCAAAGTGCTGGGATTACAGGCATGACCCACTGCCCCCAGCCTAATTTTTTTTTTTTTTTTTTTTTTTTTTTGAGACGGAGTTTCCCTCTTGTTACCCTGGCTGGAGTGCAATGGCACAATCTCGGCTCACCGCAACCTCCGTCTCCTGGGTTCAGGCAATTCTCCTGCCTCAGCCTCCTGAGTAGCTGGGATTACAGGCACGTGCCACCATGCCCAGCTAATTTTTTGTATTTTTAGTAGAGACGGGGTTTCACCATGTTGACCAGGATGGTCTCGATCTCTTGACCTCGTGATCCACCCGCCTCGGCCTCCTAAAGTGCTGGGATTACAGGCTTGAGCCACCGCGCCCGGCAATTTTTGTATTTTTAATAGAGACAGGGTTTCACCATGTTGGCCAGGCTAGTCTCGAACTCCCGACCTCATGTGATCTGCCCACCTCTGTGTCCCAAAGTGCTGGGATTATAGGCATGAGCCACTGGGCCCAGCCAGCATCTTACTTTCTGTAAGACCAAATTTAATATTAACCCAAATTTTTCTACACTCATTCAACAAATAAAAATTAAGCAACAGCATTGTGAATAATACTATATCTGTGGTGCTCTTGGGATGAAAATTGTAAAATAGATGTCCTATCCTTATCATCTGGTTAAGGAAGTGAGTTACACCTATGAAAATTTAGATGGCAATATGAGGCAATTTGTGATTACCAGATCAACTGTACATATAATAAATCCTATAAAATTTGCATAAAGAAAGTTAATAGGAGTGATTAGGATTGGCCTAGTGGACGAAATAAGACTTGTGCTAGGGCTAGACAAAGGGGTCAAGTGTTGATACAGTCAGGATATTCTGGTTACAAGCATGATGTACACAATGGCAGAAGGATAGAGGTAAATAAAATACTGGGAATAAAGGGCTCTGTTTGAGATTGATTAGTAATAAGGTTAGATAAAATTAGGTGTATTATTTGGAGCTATGTGATGAAGCTTCAATAACTAGTGAAAGAGATTAGAGACTATTCTGAAGGTAATAAGAATGCAGCAGTGATTTCTGAGAAGTGTTTCAGGAAAGTAGCAATTTAGGAAGATGGATGTATATTGGAGTATAAGAAGGATTGGAGGAGGGCCAGGCGTGGTGGCTCACGTCTATAATCCCAGCACTTTGGGAGGCCAAGGCAGGCAGATCAACTGAGGTCAGGTGTTTGAGACCAGCCTGGCCAACATGGTGAAACCCTGTTTCTACTAAAAATACAAAAATTAGCCAGGAGTGGTGGTGGCCGCCTGTAATCCCAGCTACTTGGGAGGCTGAGGCAGGAGAACCGCTTGAACCCAGGAGATGGAGGTTATAGTGAGCTGAGATGTCAGCACCGCACTCCAGCCTGGACGACAGAGCAAGACTCCATCTCAAAAAAAAAGGACTGGAGGAGGAGAAACCAGAGTCAATACTTTTTAATATCCTACTATTAGATAACAGATATCTGACCTTAAATGATAGCAATAAAAATAGGATGGTTTGGAATGAAAAGTTGATCACAAGTGAGAATTGACAGATCTTGAAAACTGAAAGCATATGGGAGATACGGAAAAATTCAAAGATGACTTGAGGTTTCAATTAATTTGGTTTTTTGTTGTTGTTTTTGAGATGGAGTCTTGAACTCCATCAAGATAGGTCTTGAACTCTTGACCTATGGTGATCTACCTACCTCTGCATTCCAAAGTGCTGGGATTAGCACTTTGAAATTAATTAAGGCGTGAGCTGGCCTCAATTAATTTCAATTCCTAGAGTCTTCTTATCTTTCATCCTAATAACTTATCTGATTATGTTATTTACCACATAGCATTTGTACTTCAGATTTTAAAAAATGGATTAATATTGTATTTCTCCTTTCTTTAGTGAATATACTGCTGCCATGTCGTTGAAGTCTTAGAAGTAATGTAGGGTATTGAAAGTTATTGTAGAGACAATTAGCTGTGTATTTCCAATGATTGTTGAAAGAGTTTTGGGATAAGAAACAGGCACAAAGTATGAAATGGAGTCAGGTAATTACTACTTCTGATGAAATCCCTAACTTAGGATAAGGCTTCTCTTATGCCAAAACAAGGTTTGTCTTAACCCTGACAGCACAATCTGACCTGTCAGTGTTTTTTATTCTCTCTCCCATTGGAAAAACTTTTATTGCTTGCTTGGACTAGTTTTACTGGTTGTTTTCAAAATGTTTTATATGTTATCTTCACAAATTTCATTGCATCCAGGCAAGCCGATGAAGAATTCCAGATCCTGGCAAACTCCTGGCGATACTCCAGTGCATTCACCAACAGGATATTTTTTGCCATGGTGGATTTTGATGAAGGCTCTGATGTATTTCAGATGGTAAGATCTTTGGTTTATTCTGCTATGTAAAAATATGTAAAATACAGTCAAAGTAGAATACATTTTTTTCAGTGGCTATAAGACATTAAATAGGATTGCTCTTATGTAAGATCTGGAGTAGCAAACTAAAAGCTAAACTCAAGCTAACCATAAAATGTAGTTATCAATGGTAACTTACTAGAGTATGAAAATTGGATAGTAATCGAATAACGTATTTTTATTGTAGTAAAATACATAAAACAAACTGTCATTTTAACCGTTTTTTTCTTCTTTTTTTTTTTTTAATTTTTTTTCTTTTAAATTATTAAGATGGGGTTTCACCGTGATGGCCAGGCTGGTCTTGAACTCCTGACCTCAGGTGATCCACCCACCCCGGCCTCCCAAAGTGCTAGGATTACAGGCGTGAGCCACTGCGCCGCGCCGTTTTAACCATTTTAAGTATATAATTTATTAAGGAAATTTTGAAATCACAGCATGAGTCCCAGCATTATGTGATATTGAAGTCCTTAGTACAGCCAGGTTCCTATCTTTATTCCCTTACCTCTTTTTAAAATTTTTTATTTTTATGTCAATAATTTTGGGGCAACAGGTGGTTTTTGGTTACATGGATAAGTTCTTTAGTGGTGATTTCTGAGATTTTGGTGCACCCATCACCCAAGCAGCATACACTGTAGCCAAATATGTAGTTTTTAATTCTTCACTTCCCTCTGACCTTTCCCCCGCAAAGTCCGTTATATCAATCTTATGCCTTTGCATCCTCATAGTTTAGCTCCTACTCATATATGAGAACATAACAATATTTCATTTTCCATTCCTAAGTTACTTCACTTAGAATAATGGCCCCCCTGCTCCATCCAAATTGCTGCAAAATACATTATTTCATTCCTTTTTATGACTGAGTAGTATTTCATGCTTTCTCTATACCACATTTTCTTTTTTTTGAGACGGAGTTTCACTCTTGTTGCCCAGGCTGGAGTGCAATGGCACGATCTCGGGTCACCGCAACCTCCGCCTCCTGGGTTCAGGCAATTCTCCTGCCTCAGCCTCCTCAGTAGCTGGGATTACAGGCATGCGCCACCATGCCCAGCTAATGTTTTTGTATTTTTAGTAGAGACGGGGTTTCACCATGTTGACCAGGATGGTCTCGATCTCTTGACCTCGTGATCCACCCGCCTCGGCCTCCCAAAGTGCTGGGATTACAGGCTTGAGCCACCGTGCCCGGCCTATACCACATTTTCTTTATCCACTCGTTGGTTGATCAACAATTAGGTTGGTTCCATATCTTTGCTATTGTGAATCGTGCTGCTATAAATATGTGTGCGTATGTGTCTTTTTCATATAATGACTTCTTTTCCTTTGAGTAGATACCCAGTAGTGGGATTGCTGGGTCTAATAGTAGTTCTACTTTGAGTTCTTTAAGGAATTTCCATACTGTTTTCCATAGTGGTTGTACTAGTTTACATTCCCACCAGCAGTGTTAAAAGTGTTCCCTTTCCACTACATCCACACCAACATCTATTGTTTTTTTACTTTAATTGTGGCCATTCCTGCAGGCATAAAGTAATATCTCATTGTAGTTTTGATTCGCATTTCCCTGGTAATTAGTGATGTTGGCCATTTATCTTCTTTTGAGAAATGTCTATTCTTGTCCTTTACCCACTTTTTGATGGGATTGTTTTTCTCTTGCTGATTTGAGTTCTTTGTAGATTCTGGATATTAGTCCTTTGTCAGAAGCGCAGTTTGCAAATTTTTTTTTTTTTTTTTTTAAGACAGAGTCTCACTTTGTCACTCAGGCTGGAGTGCAAATGGCTCGATCTCAGCTCACTGCAACCTCTGCCTCCTGAGTTCAAGCAATTCTCCTGCTTCGGCCTCCCGAGTAGCTGGGACCACAGGCGCGTGCCACCACGCCTGGCTAATCTTTTTTTTTTTTTTTTCAGTAGAGATGGGGTTTCACTGTGTTGGCCAGGGTGGTCTCAATCTCCTGACCTTGTGATTCACCCACCTTGGCCTCCCAAAGTGCTGGGATTACAGGCGTGAGCCACCGCGCCCAGCCAGATATTTTTTTCTACTCTGTGGGTTGTTGGCTTACTCTGCAGATTATTCCTTTCGCTGTGCAGATGGTTTTTAGTTTAATTAGGTCCCATTTTTTAAATTTTTATTTTTGTTGCATTTGCTCTTGGGGTCTCAGCCATGAATTCTTTGCCTAAGCCAATGTTTAGAAGAGTTTTTCAGGTGGGTATGGTGGCTCACGCCTATAATCCCAGCACTTTGGGAGGCCGAGGCAGTTGGATCACTTGAAGTCAGGAGTTCAAGACCATCCTGGCCCCATCTCTACTAAAATACAAAAGTTAGCCAGGTGTGGTGGCAGATTCCTGTAGTCCCAGCTACTCGGGAGGCGCAGGCATGAGAATCACTTGAATCCAAGAGGTGGAGGTTGCAGTGAGCCAGGATCACACCACTGCACTCCAGCCTAGGCGATAGAACAAGACTCAGTCTCAAAAACAAAAAAGATTTTTACAATGTTATCTTCTAGAATTTTTATGATTTCAGGTATTAGAGTTAAGTCTCTGGTCCATCTTGAGTTGATATTTTTCTTCCCTTACCTCTAGTCTTAGCAGAAAAGTAGATCTTTTCTTGTTTGGAACTGAACCTTTTTCCAGTGCCCTGGATCCCATACTCACCTGCCCTGTCAATCATGACCTCTCACAACTATTTTTGTTTGTTCGTTTTTGAGACAGAGTCTCACTCTGTTGCCCAGGCTGGAGTGCAGTGGCACAATCTCGCCTTACTGCAACCTCTGCCTCCTGGGTTCAAGCAATTTTCCTGCTTCAGCCTCCCAAGTAGCTGGGATTACAGGTGCCTGCCACCACACCTGGCTAATTTTTAAAATTTTAATTTAATGTAATTTTTTTTTTTTGAGACAGAGTCTCACTCTGTTGCCCAGGCTGGAGAGCAGTGGCTTGATCTCAACTCACTGCAACCTCTCCCTCCTGGGTTCAAATGATTCTCCTGCCTCAGCCTCCTGAATAGCTGGAATTACAGGTGCCTGTCACCATGCCTGGCTAATTCCTGACCTCAGGTGATCCACCTGCCTCAGCCTCCCAAAGTGCTGGGATTACAAGCGTGAGCCACTGCACCCAGCCTATTTTTAACTTCAGTCTCTCTATTAGTTCTTCCCCCTTGCATATAAATACTTAAGGACATAGATTCAATTTTGTCTTTGTTTATAAATGTGTCTAACTCATGTATTTGAACCTATTTTACTCAAGTGTATAAAACATAAAAGGAAAAAGCTAGATATAATGCCTTGATATACATCTTCATATGAATGACTTCCCAATCTAAAAATTTATTATGTCCCAAATTAAACTTCTATCTCTTCCACTTTCACCCAAGCCTCATCTTGTGTTCTGCATCATTAGTGACACTTTTTTGTCATCTTCATCTTCTTGTACAACATGTGTCATAGCCATACCCCCTTTATATTCCAAGGCCCACATTAATCTCATTCAAGCTAAAGTAGTAAGTAGCCTTTTAACTGGTCTACTTACCTTCCATTTAGCACTGTCTCCATATTGCCTGCTATAACATTTCCCAGAGTTTTTTCTAAATGGTATTAATAAGAATTTTTGGAAAAATATAAATTTGGAAAACCCTAGTTTAAACAAAATTAAGCTTTCTTTTTACTTCAGGGTTCAAGAACTAGGAAGAGGCTAAGTTCTTACCCTACTTGCAAGCTAACATGTTAGCCTGCTACAGTTTCAGGGATGCCAGCAGAAAATATGACACTCCTGAGTCAGAGTCCACCAAAGGACTTTTTGCTGTTTATTTTTGAGATTAGGTCTTGCTGTGTTTCCCAAGCTAGTCTTGAACTCCTGTGGTCAAGTAATCCTCCCTCCTTAACCCCCTGAGTAGCTGGGATTACAGGCTTTTGCCACCATGCCTGGCTCAAGTTAAAGGACTTTACTACTCACAATAAGTAGCCATAGTGTCAGCATTTTCTTGCATAGGTTCCCCAAGCCCCACTTCCCATAGGGCAATCCAAAGAAGGTCCGTGGTCAGCTACTTAGAAGGCTGGGGCAGGAGGATTGCTTGAGATCAGGAGTTTGAGGCTGCAGTGAGCTGTGATCATGCCTCTGCACTCTAGCCTGAGCAGCAGAGCAAGACCCCAACTCTTTTTATTTTATTGTACTTTAAGTTCTGGGGTACATGTGCAGATTGTGGAAGATTATTACATAGGTATACACATGCCATGGTGGTTTGCTGTATCCATCCCCGTCACCTACATTAAGGTATTTCTCCTAATGTTATCCCTCCCCAATCCCCCCACCCTCTGCTATACCTCCCCTAGCCCCCCACCCCCCAACAGGCTCCAGCGTGTGATGTTCCCCTCCCTGTGTCCATGTGTTCTCATTGTTCAGTCACCACTTATGAGTGAGAACATGCAGTGTTTGGTTTTCTGTTCTTGTGTCAGTTTGCTGAGAATGATGGTTTCCAGCTTCATCCATGTCCCTGCAAAGAACACAAACTCGTCCTTTTTATGGCTGCATAGTATTCCATGGTGTATATGTGCCACATTTTCTTTATCCAGTCTATCACTGATGGACATTTGGGTTGGTTACAAGTCTTTGCTATTGTAAACAGTGCCGCAGCGAACCTAGGTGTGCATGTGTCTTTATAATAAAATGATTTATAATCCTTTAGGTATATACCCAGTAATGGGATTGCTGGGTCAAATAGTATTTCTATTTCTAGATCCTTGAAAAATTGCCACAGTGTCTTCCACAATGGTTGAACTAATTTACACTCCCACCAACTCTTTTTTTTTTTTTTTTTTTTTTTTTTGAGACAGAGTTTCACTCTTGTTACCCAGGCTGGAGTGCAATGGCGCGATCTTGGCTCACCGCAACCTCCGCCTCCTGGGTTCAGGCAATTCTCCTGCCTCAGCCTCCTGAGTAGCTGGGATTACAGGCACGCACCACCATGCCCAGCTAATGTTT